GTATGTTTTCTTCTTCTGTGAGGGAACCTTCAAAGCATGTGGGAAGTAGTACAAAAGGACTAGTGCCAGTGGTCAAGAGAATAAGGTTGAGAGCTACTGGTGTAGTGATTGAATACCTTACACTTTCATTTTTGGAGTTCCTGTTACTGTACTAAATGGAATCAGTCTGGTGATCTTACTCAGGTCTTCCGATGGACATGTTCTTGTACAGGAGTCATCATAGTATACAGCACAAATGGCAGCCTCTGCTTAAGACAAGGTCGATGCAGTGGCAGATGTATCAGAACATTTATAGGGTGCCTGCCTGTTTTATGCCTTATGGGGGGGGGGGAGAAATGAAACACATTTTTAAAGGGCAAATAAAGCAATAATTCCCTTCACAAACCTCAAATACACATTTGTTGGAAAACAATGTTTAGAAATAGAACTGTGTTCCTACTAATGATTTCATTTGTTGAGCGATGTAGCAAAGCTGATCTTGCTGTAATTGATAAATAAGAACAGCTGCAAGGATGGAAGAGGAACAAAATCAAAATGTTCCACTTCCCTAGATCTATTTTCAAGAGATTTTTAATTATTCTTTTGTGCTATCTGTGCTTACAGGTAATTCAAGCTATGAATCTGGACTCATATCCTCTCTATGCGAGCTACCTCATCCTCATTGGTATTAGTATTGGTTTCATGCTTTTATACTACTTATCTCTGAGGTTTGTCAAGCAGAAATCAAATCAAGATTGGTAACAGGTAAAAAAGAAAGAAAATATTAGTGCAAGTTATTCTCACACTTGCAAAATATCTGCCCCCTCCCTCACCACAAAAGAGACTCCATCTTTTATACTTCACAAGTTCAAATCTTTTATTAATACTCTACATCAGAGATGTACTGTAAAGTCTCTTTTAATAATAGGGCATTATTTTATGTAAACCACTGGATGGCAGCAGAATACAGACAGTTGAAAGCCATCTTCAGAATCTTTAACTCTGCTATAAGTGGTAAAGAAATAACTGAATTGTGTCTTCAACATTTTTCCTTGTGACATCATCATCATATAGGAGACAAAATGAGTGTGACTCATGTATGTTTAGTTTGAGACTATGGGCAAGGTCCTCTGCTGGTGTAAAACTGTGACGCTCCCTTGACTTAAATGTCTTTATACTGATTTACATCAGCTGATGATCTGGCCCACACTTTTAAAATGAATACATACCATATTACTGAACTTAATTTGGAGATTCAGAGTAACAGTATAAGGAAAATAACTATTTACATTTTTCAGCATTTCTCACCCACAAAGATCCCAGTATATGCACAATATATACATCATGTCACTCAGTGCAAGAGTGCAGACAGAGGATGGTAACTTTGTAACAAAGCATTTTAGGACAGGAGAAGCATATGATTTCATTGACGCTACTGAAGAATTTTATGTAGGCAGAAAGTAATGATTCAAACCAGAAAGTCAGAGTTCCCATATAAAGCAGTTAAAAATAACTCAGAACATTTGTTCTGCATGTCAATGTCATTGTCTATATTTGGCAATATTAATAGAGTCATAAATCCAATGAACATCATCTCACCTAAAAACAGTATTTTAGCAGTTGACTAAGTCTGTATCTTTGCATTTTTGATGCTGAATACACCAGACCTGTTTAAGTAAGTTAATAGTGCATTCAAGGAATGCCTGAAGTTGTGCATTTAGTAGTTACATGCTTACACAAAGTATACACAATAAGGTATGCAATTCCCACAGCAGCTCACACAGATTGGGTGTATGCCAGTAGCTGCCATTAGCAGTTTCCATGTAAAATTACCTCTTTTGCTTAATAAAGCCATAATAAATGCATGTATAACTAGATTTTACATACATATGTTGTTTAAAAATCAGGACATTCATGATCTGGATGCATTCCTAAATAGCTATATGTTTATGTAAAAACAAAATAAATCTCCTGTTCTAACTTCAATAATTGTAAAGTTTCAGTTAATGGAAAATGCTAATTTTAAATCATTATAATGCTTTGGCCATTGTAAATACAGATTTTTTTTTAAAAAGTAAAAAGTCTTTAAAAAAGTATTATTTCCATTCAGGGGTATCACATCATTCTCTATAGGGATTTCACTGTAATATATTTCCAGACCGAGCCCAGCCTGTTAGACTGAATGAACCAGTTTCGCCTTAGACAGCAGTAGGAATCCCGAACATGTCAAGATTCTGATTTGGTGAATTCTATCCTTTCTAAAAATGTTCTTGTTAAACAAAAAGCCCTCTCTCTCCCCCCCCCCCCCCTTTTTCTTTTAAAAATACCTTTTTTTT